GGACTCACAGCTCGGCGAGTTTCTGGCAGAACTCCCAGGCGTCAGGTCGGATCCTGCTGATGGCGTTGTGGCCGAGGTGGAGCTGCTGCAGAGTCAGCAGGCCGTACAGCCAGCCCTTACTCACCTCCGTCAGGTTGTTGTAGTCCAGCTGCCTGCAGGCCCACACACACACACACACAATGAGACTTTATACTACATTTCAGTCATGATGGAAGAACAGAACTGCACGTCTCTTGGAAATTTGCTTACAGCACTTCCATGTTGCTGAGGCCCCAGAAGGCTCCGTCCATCAGGCGGCTGAGGCCGTTCCTCTGCATCTTCAAGGAGCGAAGAGCGTGCAGACCGTGGAACGTCAGGCCCTCCACCCTGCGAACCCGATTCCTGCTCAGCTCCCTGAAACACACACACACACACACACACACACACGGTAAGCGTCAGACCACAAGCAAGGAATACCCAGATGGTAGGAAATGTAGTGGTACAGTTTGACTTTTCAGACAGATGCTACCAATAACTGGTATTTTGTGCAGATGTTTTACAATGTATTGTAAGAACAGTTCCCTCCTTGAATCTTTTTCTCCATCATTTAATGTTTTCCACAGAACTATACGGATTTCAGGGTGAAAAAGCCTCAGAAACAGCATGTAGACAATCTAAATATCACATCACCACAATGATGGTGGATGAAATTAACTTAAATAGCCATTTCTCCTAAATTCAAGTTCCAAACTAGTGTGTAGTCGGAGAATGTCTGGACGTCAAAATGTTGTTATAGGACACAAATAAAGCAACAGAAAAACAAAGCTTACAGATGCTGGAGGTTGGGCAGTTGGAAGATCTTAGCTGGGATGGTGGAGAGCCGGTTGCGGTTGAGCCGAAGAACCTGCAGACTGCTGGACAGGTTGGTGAAGCAGCCCGTCTCCAGCGACGAGATTCGATTGTTGTTGAGGAACCTGAGAAAGATTTAATAACAAGGTTTGCTTAGAATCCAAAGACACCGAAGAAAAACTGTATTACAACAACAGAAACATGGGGTTGGTTCCTAACATAATCACCAGAAATAATAGGGCTTTTCCCAGCATTTAGTCTATAAAAACACTACAATAACTATGGTATGTGTACATAATGAGAAAAATATTACGTGATGCTCTGATACATCTACTGGTTAGCTGTGTTGTGGATTTCTGTGATGTGCTAAGAGCTGCTAATATATTATGGTTTGGACTAAAAAGTTCTCTTTCAGCTATATAAAAGGCACAATCAGGCAGTAACAGAACTGGTAACACTCACAGGTTCTTGAGCGGAAGAGTGGGGAAGGAGCTGGCCTTTATATCCACAATGTTGTTGTTGCTGAGGTCGAGCGTTTCCAGAGCGAGGAAGGGCCTGAGCTGCTCCACAGAGATCCTGGTGATCCTGTTGTTTGCTCTGAAAATACAGACACCATCGCTCCAATAAATGACAAAAATACTGTGTATTTGACTAGTAGCGCACACCAGTTTCATGTTTCTAGATATACAAACAGTCAAGTCCCTCAATTAGCCTGTGGCATTAAAAAATGACAAACTCTCACGCGCTTGCAGAGCTAAAACTTACCACCCAACGCGAAGCGCTGTCATAGATTTTTTTGCTGATGTTGCATGTACAGTATATTTCAAGGATGCCAGCAGATTGCTCCGTGTGATCAATGTTGCTGCTCTTCACACCAGGTCCAAGCAACCTTTGGGTTTATTGATGTGTTATTTTGTTTATAAGGTAATTACCGACAAGGTATTTAAAAAAGTAACCTGCCAATTACTTGGCTGATGAATACCATTCCCTCAGTGAAAGCATGCCTCGGCAGAGGCCAGCAATTTCCTGAGCTGCACGCCTCCTAAATTGCAGTGCAGGGACTGCTTAGTTATAAACAGAGCCTGTACAGTGCCCTCTTTGTGTATGAGACCCAGCAGCAGAGCGAGAGTGAGGGGGGAGGCAGGAATTCCCTCCAATGCACCAGACTACAGGCCTCGTTTTCAGTATTCATTGCGATGGTTACAGTCCCCCCCTCCAGCTACACCTTACTGACCAGAGAGCTAGTGTTAGTTTTTCTGTTTCACTTTCCAGCAGCCCGAAAGAAACATCAACCTGAGGACAGATTTATAATGTAGGTTTAATTTGGGATGTGGTGTCATTAATATTTAATTGTTGGAATCTGTCAATCAACTGACCTACGGCACAAACTGCTTCACAAGAGTGGCCGCTGTCGGGAATAGAGCTGAAATGTTTAATTGATTAGTTGATCGACAAAAGATTAATGGTCAACTAATTTGATAGTAGATGAATTGTTTTGTTAATTTCACAAGCAAAAATATCAAAACGTGCTCAAGTTCCAGCTTCTTAGTCGCCTCTCATTTATGTAATTCTAAATTTATAATTTTTTTAGACCATAAAGTTATTTGAAGAAGTCAACTTGGGTTTTAGTAAATTGTAAAATTTCTTCACAAAAAATGCTGTCAGTGAAAGAAAAAGCAGCATTTAACAGGATGCAAATCAGGTATTATGACCGTCTATTCACACCCAGCAAGGCTTTTGCGCTCACCAACTCGTCTAATCTTGATCTCAGGTTTTGTTCTTCTTTCGTCCACCTCCGGCAGAGAGACAGCATGGCACCACGCCGTTGTGAAACTGAGATCTCTCACCCATTGAAAACACTGTGTGGTGACACTGTGAGAGCTGTGACCCATTTTCCACGTGTTGATGTTGATATTTCCATAGAAACCACAGAAAAAGTGCAACACCTTTCGGAGATGCTCTGAAGGGAAGATTTGCAGTCAACAAAGATTCAAGATGGATGCCAGCCCGGACTGTGGGACACTGCTGGAATAAAACCCGCCAGAGCATGTTCCTGAGCTCAGTGCTTCAGTCAACCTTGGTCCTGTGGCAGGGAAAAGTCACCAGGATAGGGGGCTGCCAAGGTGGGGGTGGGGGCAGGAGCAACTGTAAGTGGCAAACTTGCCCAAATTACACAAATAAGGCATTTTATGATGCACTGGAACTGCTGAAAGAAGTTAAAACAAACCAGATCACTAAATGATTAAACTGTTATTTTGTTACATGGAGTTTGGTTTATGAACACAGGCCAGCTAGCATGCCTGTGCACAATATAAACTCCAAGGCTGATGTGAAACTTATATCATTCTGAAAATATGCCACTGGCCTCCACTTGTAGGTTCTTAGTTCCACTCAGTTTGAGCATGAACTTACTCACTCCTGTCTGTCCTTGTGAGTTAAGAAGAAGTCAGCTGGCTGCAGGGCCTTTTCCTATCGTGGCCCCTTTCTCTGGAATAACCTCCCCATCTGATTTTTAAAGCCCCTCCAGGCAAATTTGTGATATTGGGCTATATAAATAAAATGTACTTTTTTTGTAACAGCCTTAACATATACTCAAAAATCTAGAGAAGGTTCTTGGTGTGCAGTAAATACCGATCATAGTCTTCAATAAAAACGGCACAGGCAGCTCTTTTGTTTGGAGATTTGCAGTGGGCTTTCCACGCACCACAGCCCCCCGGTCCCAAACAAAAGCGCCGCACACCACCTGTGTCTCAGTTTTCATGTTCCCCTGACTGGTCGCTGAGAGAAGGAAGGCCGCCTGGTGAGAAAGAACCAGTCTTTCCAGTTTCTCTCTGGGGGAAAGTAGAGCCACGGAGAGGGGCTGGCACACACTTCCAGTCTGAGGACGAGGAGATGGACCCTGAAATTTTACCACTGGGGGCCAACTAATTATTCCATAATCCCATCAGCCTTATCAGATTCATTCTAGTTATTTTTGCATCACAACACCATACAGCAGACACCCCCTCATCTCAACATCTGCACCGCCACTCAATGAGCCCTCCTCTGTCCTCTCCACACACAAACAGGCCGTGCATTGTACACTTTAATTACACACACTTCAAATTTGTTCATCCACTTTGCTATCAGATAACGTGATTATAGAGCCATTACAGCTGTGGTTGTAGGGCTTTGCGGCTGTTAGTGGAAGTCGATGGAAGGCCAACCTGTGAGTCAATAACAGCCAGAGGCATCTTTAACATTGATCAAATATGTACTCATTATTAAACTGAGGCAGGCAGCAGACAGACACTAAATCAGCGCTGTTGTGACAAGCACAGAAAGTGTTTACCATGAATAAAAAGATTTGAAAAATGTGCATGTTACCATAATCTTCCTCTGCATGTTTCCAGACTTTCCAAACCTTTTCGAAACTTGAAGTCGTGAAACGTGAGTGTGGTTAAAGCCTTTTTTATTACAGACTTGTTACACCAACACGATGTGGGTTTCACAAAGGCACATACCTGCCAGCACTCTACCCCATAGTATTTTTGGCCTCTAATCAAACTGACCACATTTACACACTGAAAAGTTAGGTTGTTATGTAAAATTCAAAGATTCCTGATTAAGGTTGTTGTTGTTGATTTCAGCAAGGCTCTGTGCACCGAGCAGCGACTATTTTTTTTTAATGGGGGAAGCTCTTTAAATGGAAAGTCGCTTTTTCTAAAACTGTCTCGCTCGTAGTGTGTGTGCATATGACTGCTGGTGCGTCCGTGTGTGTGTGTGAGTGTGTGTGTGGTATTTCCTATTGGAAAAAGAACAGAGTTTTGAGAAGCCATCTGATGACTCCCTCTCTCTGCAGTGGCGCCTGTAATGAAAACCAGGGCTGCGTTTGCTGTTGAGACGCCATATTAAACTCTGCACATATCTCACTCAAATGGCTGATCATCTTAACACGTCGGCTCCCAGCCGGAGTGGAGAGAAGCAGGGATTGCATTAGCATGCGAACTGAAGGACCTTTACAGCAACTGTCTGGGGAGCTGTAAAGTTCTTGACGTATCCACATATTTCTGTATTTCTTGCAATACTAAAACCCCTCAAATTATGCCTGTTGTACATGTTCATAAATGCATCTTGCATTCTGTTTTTCAAAATGTGTATTTTCTTTGTTGCTAAGCCCGCTTGACCGCAGTGTTTCTGTTTCTATCAGCTATTGAAGCTATTCTTGCTCATGCCAAGCACTTGGCTCTGCTTCTTAACAGGATAGAAAATGTAAAAAGCTGTCATAAGCCTGAATCTAGTGCTGAAATAATGGAAAATGCTATATGTGAGGATTTGATGCTCTTTTAAAAGTCATTGTAAATGGAGGACCTTTGGGTTTTGTACTGTGGGTCGGACAAAACAAGGGATGTAATGACATCACCTTGCACTTCGGGACATTTTTAAACAGACAATAAATAGATTCTTCAAAAATACCACAGATTAACAGATTATAAGATTATTCGTTAGCTGCAGCCCTATTGCACATATATCTATTAGATGTTGCGGATTATTAGTATAATTGCTACTGTTTTGGTTTGTAATTCTCATCTTCAACAAGTTTCCCATATCTATAGTTCACCTCCTAATATACCTAATCAGACCTGGAATCTCCAGGTCATTTGTTGAACCCCCCTGAACACAGGCAGAGGGGATTTAGCGGCGGTGGGGTTTACCCCCTCCATAAATTCCTGGGAAATTGTTCAATTAATTAAGATGATCACGACTCAATTACTACCAGCTGCAGGGTTATTGCCGTTTGTTTTTACTCGGAGCTGCGAGGTCAAAGAAGTCGGCGAGAGCTGCCGCTATGTCTGACTGGCTGTTTGAATAAGTGGTATTCGATACCCCAAGGTCTTTTTTTTCTCATTACTACCCTCCCAGCTCGGAGAAACTGAAGGAGGGAGAAAAATTCTGGAAAAATCACACTGCGCCACCTAATCTGAAGGAGGAGGGCGGCAGCCCAACACAGGCAGTGCGAGTGTGAGAGCAAGTGTCAATTTCAGTTTCTTCTTTTTCTTCGTATCAAATCTTTTCACGGCAGAAAAAGGGTCAAAGAAGGCTTCACAGAAAGTGCAATTTAAAAACACTTTTGCTCCATTTACTAATATAACAGGTGACACCATTTAGACCACCAAGAGTGAAGCCAAAGTACTGACTTTAAAAGAAGAAACTTTGAATTGAAAAGTGATTGCAAAACTCAAAACAGAAAATTTGAATGTCATTTGCATCTTTTTTGACCATGCCATTAGCAATTTTAGGGGGTTAGCATGATATACTGTGGCTTACTAGCTTGTACCTATTAGCTGGAATAGCTAGTTAAAATTGTGGGAGGTCAGGTAAGTAGCTAACATAAAGTAGCATTAGCTGTAAAGTAAACCACTAGGATTCCCAATATTATCCACCTCTTGTACTTCCTGTGTTTTTCACTGAGCATTACGGTTACCAGGTCAAACAAATGTGCGTCTTTAGCTCCATTAGCATTTTTCTGAAACATGTAATGCTTTCATTTTTGCAGGAAAATGTCATATCATTCTGTGACTCATGGAGCTCTCCATTAAAACATTAAAGCAAGACTTTTTTTCACTAAAAACGAAAAGTTGAGCAACAAAACGCACCCTTACATAGTTCAGTGTTCTCAGAGATTTTGCTACTACTGCTGCTTGGTCTGGTATGACCAGTAGCTAATGGTGAAGCTAACGTTTAGGTAGATCTAGATCTGTGTAACTGTCATTATGGAGCCATTCTGGTGACTTTATCATCTCATATCTTCTCTACTTATGCTTTCATTACTGTACATTGTAATATTTACTTTGAACCCAGAATTATGTTATCACAGTGCCTCACCAACAGTGCAAATCTTGTTTAATGACAGTATTACTGCTATAATTCTTGGGATTCCCTGCTAATTCTCAGGTAGCTAAATTAGCATTGGCTGTAACAAACCTCTAGGAATCCTAATATCACCTACCTCCTCCTCTTTTTCACAAATGTTTTTAAAACTTCAACTCTCATGGGCGTTCGTATAGTTACATTATGTCATATCTTACAATAAGATTATTTAATGTCCTATAAATAAGTGTCTGTGTTTCGTGTTATTCTGTACTTATCTGGAGTGTGTTAAGTCAGAGTTAACATGGATGACACGAATTTGGGTAAACCAAACAGAACAACATCCTCAAATCAAATAAAGAAATTATGGTTTGGAGAAAGTCTGGAATTTCTAAAGTGAATCAGTGCAGGAACTCTGCACTTTAATCCAGAGTTGCTCAAGGGTACTTGGACAGCACACACAGCAGTTGCGACATATGAACCTGTGACCTCTTTCTAACCACGACGGGAACAATGCAGCCATTCACACCAGGTGTTATTTGTGTGTGGAACAAATAATGGTGCAGGACAACAAATCTGAGTTAACACGTGAAGTAGGAAAAACTTCAAAAACCTCCCCCTCAAATAATGCAGTAAAATATGACATAAGGTAAAGAGCTTGCGTTAAACACAAAACCATCCCTCCTATCTTCCTCTGCTGAAACTTATAGCTGGAGGTGACACTCTTTGCTAAACGTGCAAACAAACTGTTGATGGCTGACGGCTGAAGGCCCTGCGGCTGCCGCGGAGCGTCGTGTTGGGGCTTGATGAGGAATAAGCCTCATCAAGCCGGGACACAGATACATTCTTCCACAATAACTTCACGTCAGTGGGTTTTGGAGAGACATGCCACAGAAAGCAAATAAAATTGTTGAGGTTTCACACACTAATATCTGGTGTTCTTCTGAAAGCACGTATTGCACAACAATATTCCAAAGGATCTTCTGGTTAAAGTCTGAGCAAGATGAGCTATGACAAGTCAAGCGGTTTTTCATTGAATTTATAAGCAGAAGTGAACTCACGCTCTCACTGTCAGCGAAGCACTTTAAAACACTGCATATATATTCAAAAACAGGCATTAATTGGCTGCTTTAAGGTGATGGACCAAGACACTGTTGGATTTTCAGGAAGTCAGAGACACCATCTTGTTTCCAGATTAACCACCATTCATTTGAGCCCCATAAAGGGCCGCACAGAAACATGTAAAAACACCCACTGAAGCTTAAAATCACCAAATTTGGATCTCTGTCATTTTCACATGACAGATTTCTTTCCTCCCAGCGTCACGTCACTGCCTCCAGGTTAAAAATACATCAACAGCCACCAGACAAAACATTTCCATTTCTGTTGATGGCATTTGTCTTCGACCACGTGACCCGTCTGGGGCTGGGTGCCATGTCTCCGACTGCCCCGTCTGGGAACCGGCTCAGCCAAAAGGGTTGCTCTCTCGAGGGAAGGAAGGGGGAGGAACCACTTCCCTGCTCACTACTTTAACCAGGAATGGCAACTTTGGCAGAGGATCACCCTCCAGAAGTGAGTCTGGGGAGGTGTAACGCTTTTATATATATATTAAAAGAATTTGTACTTACAGAATGAGGGTTGTGATGTTTGAAGCATAAGGGCCCAAATCAGGTACTGCCTCCAGTTCATTGTGGTTCAGCTTTCTGTATTATGAAAAAAGAATCAAGAGTAGTTTGTCACATGCATGGACAGTGACGAAAACTGTTTAGAAAATCCTGCGAGAAGTGCTGAGAACACAAGGCATACTTACATTTCACTTAGATGTTGTAGTTTAGAAAACAACGTGCTGTCAAGCACCTGCAATTTGTTATGGCTCAGGTCCCTGCGAAGGGAAAAAAAGGCAAAAATTAAAGGAAAAGTATACACCATGGACTGTATTTCTCAGCTGCTGCAGTCTTCCATTTGGGTCTACATGGCAAACATAATTACATACAAATTCTTTGTGTTATTGTGCCTTAACACTGTGAACAGAGCAAATGGATCAAAGAAAAGCCACTGTAATTAAACTGTGAGACGGTGCACAACTGATGGTGATTAAATGTAACAGAATGGTCCGAAAAATAAGCAAGGATACGATTTATGACCGACACACTGTCACAAACAGGAGAAAAAACACAATGGGATACAGTTTCAGATCCCATCAACCGATTCTGCAAGTCACATCTGAAAGCAACTGAAAAAGTCCCAAAACAAACTGCTTCCCATTCAGTCTCTCCAAAAAAGGGCTTACAAGTTAAAGGCCTCTGGATTCTTCCCTTCTTTTAAAACACAGAAGAGAGCGTGCAGGCCAAAACTCCTCACTTCATATCCAGGCCTCTGCTGAGAGGCAGAGCCAAAACAGACAAGCTGATAAGTTATTGAGGGGAGAGATTCTGTTTGTGCTGAAACGGAGGGTGAAAGCTGGCGAGGGACGTCGATAAAAAAGCTGGCTAAAGTGCTGGCCTCTTTTCTGGTGTCTGTACTTGTGTTAACCACATTCCTATTTTGACTTTAATAGTTACAAACCTTCACAGTAACACTATTTCCAATAATATTTGGTTTATCATCAAGTATATATAGAACCCCATACCTCTAGCATCGATTGGTCTGGGCTTATATCAGAACTCCTTTACAATTTTGCACATTTCTGGGAACTTCTTTATTAATGTTTGTACATAGGTTGCTTATTGCCTATTGTAGTCTTGACGAGTGCTTAATCAGTCTCTGGTCTATGTCTTGGTTCTGTCTGAATCCCATGTGGATCTGGGCCTGACACAAACCCGACCGAGCCTTGGACTGGACTGAAGCAGTCTTGGCTGCAGCTCACTGGGGGTGAGACTCTTGTTTTTGCTGCCTGTTTTGAATAGAAGCCTGAAAACCAGCTCAAGGAGTCTGGCAAGCGAAGCCTCGTGCGCCATAAAGTGGTGGAGTTATTGACGCTGCTGCGCACGATCAACGCCGCGGTGCCAGACACTTTTTTTTACACCCCCTCCTCCTCCTCCTTACCTCCCTCATCTGGAATCCATCAAGGAGCTCTGGGAGGAGGGGAAGAACCTATCAACTCCTGATGTATTCACAATGCCGGGAAAAGCGAGAAGGACGCTTTTCAAAAGTCTAAAACACCCCTGTCGAATTTTCTGGGGCCTGTTTTTGTTCTTTGGTGGAAAGTTTCATGAACCACTCAACCAGAGTTTTACTTGCCTTGCTCAGGCTAACCCCCCCCCCTCCTTTTCTTTCCAAGCATGGAGCTGTGTGGTGTTGTTGTTGTTGTAGTTCCAGCACTGGGGGCCATATGGGAAAGGTGTCCTATCATACTCCCAAGATAAACCCTAAGTAGCTCTGACACATCCACTTCCCTCACAAAGCAGGCTCTGAGCGGAGCAAGATAACACACAGCGCTGCGTACAGGCTCCAGCCTGTATGTGCTGAAAATGTACCGCACGGCTTTCCTTATCAAAGACTGAAAGGTGAATAAGTGAGCCACTCTTTAGGTTACGAGAGCTGTCAGTAACGTTTTAGATTACAATAATGGGACATGGCAGCAGAATTCAAATTTAGTTCCATAAATGTTTCTCAGAGGCAGAAGAACTTTGATTGGCTGGGTTACACCTTTGTGGAAGAAGCCAAAGACTTGCGCTTTGAAAGAGCAAGTTAGCCAAAGGACACATTTGAAAGCCAAAGAGCAAACTTCAGTAAAAATATAAATATAAGTGGCGGTTTGATTAGTTTCATCAATGAGGATGGCATTTGTGATTTTGGAAGGTCGGTATGATAAACTGTAGCTTATTACCTTATAGCTATTAGCTCTAATAGCTAGTTAAAAAAGGTAGGTAGCTAACAAAACTTAGCATAGGCTATGATAGTAACCAGTGGGATGTGGTATTGTTATCTACCTCTTTTACGTAGTCGTAGATTTGTATACTCCTTTAGAGGTGTATGCTGTCTTTTATGTCATTGGGTAACTCATAGAGCTCACTATTTATTAAAAATAAAATGGTGTAGCATTTTCCCTCAATGTAGCTATTGTTGAACGACCCAGAGCGCTAGGGTTCCTGAATCCTTTGATTCCTAGCTAGTATAAACTCAAGAATGTAAGGTAAGTAGCTAACGCACCATAAATTAGCATTAGCTATGACACAAACCCAAAAGAATCGACCTCTTCTTGCCTTTCCCTGGCCATTAATGTTACCTGGTCAAATAAATGTAGTTACTGAGCTCCAAGGAACATCTAATTAGTGTCATTCTGTGACACAAAACTCTTTATGTAACTTTTTAATGGCGGTTTTCCCTTAATGCACATTATCGAAACTACAGTGCCTCACTCTTAAACCTTGAAAAGTGAAAAGCCGTTGAATCGGGGCATAAATCTGTAGCCTACCACCCCCCAAACAACACCCCAGATATTCATGGTTTATAATCCTACTTCTCCATGCTGGTCTCTTCTTCTCCCTCCTACTTTCTCCTCCTCCCCCCCCTCCTCCTTTCTGTGAGTTTGTTTCGAACTAATCCTACACGCTCCTCCTTAATCAGTACCATCGCTGGCTCTGGAGTTGCTAATTCAGCAGAAATAATGGGGTGCTGGAAAACAAAGGGTCGGGTGGTTTAAGGGGTTTAAGATGTGCTGGAGAGCCACTCGTAAATTAGCATGCCAGAGTGAAAAGAATTTTTCCCCCCATGTGGAACTTTTTTTTTTTCATTTTCTTTGGAAGGCCGGCCTTGGTTATGAGGCTCAGGCTGGGTCTGTTTTCTCTGGCAACGTCAAGTTTCCAGAGCAGCACATTTTAGAAAGAGAAAAACTAAATTCAACAGCAAGGAAACAGCTCCGGACCAGGCAGTGAATCAAGCACTACAACCTCACACAGGACAATAAAAATCAAGCACTGCAGCTTAACGCAGGGCAATAAAAATCCAGTAAGAATAATTATCTGTAAAGTAGAACACACTGAGGAACAAGCCATTAAAAGCTGCGTCTCCAACGGGCTTCAGGCCGAGCTCAGCCTCGACTCAACTCATGGAGCCAGTAGACAAACAGCGGAGTAATGGAGGTATTACTTTAGGAAACTGTCCAGGGGCAGCACACAGACTGCATCTGATTTATGCTTTTATGGCTTTGAAGGCCTTCGAGGTCCGTGAAGCTGAAACCTGAAGACATAGACACACCAACACCCATCACTGCAAATAAAAAAACGCGGATGTGACCACACTGTCAAACCATTAGAAACATTACGGGGGTCTTCTAGTTGCAGTGGGAGACCTGACGGGAGATCAGTGTAACAACCACTAATAGTGTTGTTATTACTGCTGCAACTGGTAGTACTGCCACCATTTAGCTACAACTGCTTACACCCTGCAATGATACACCACACATCCTGATTTTAAACCCTGCAGGCACTTGGGAGGACTTAATCATTTACACTTTCATTAGGAGGCCTGGAGGGACTGACAAAAGCACATTGATGTGTAAAAACACACTGCTTGTGCTTCCCTGCTGGCCTCGAGCAGCCTGGTGTGCTGCTTTAAGGGCCAATACAATAAATAAAACATGTTAAGACACAGAGACGGATGAATGACTAGGTGTTAAAGATGGACACCAGGCAAGGTTTTCAGTCATTTCTGAGGAGAACCTTCTTGCCATTCATGTCAGGTGGGGCAGAAAAGTTTTGCAGAAAGTTTACTGGCTGAACCAAATGCAGTAAAATAAGGGCCAATTTCAGTAAAAAAACCAAAGCAAAGTCAAACATATGTTATTTCTTTCTGCAGTAGGAGATTCTACATGTGGTTTGCAGCCCATTCTGTTTTCATTACGACAGGAATGTGGACCATCCCGTCGGTTCTGAGGGGAAACGATAACCTATTCAGTGCAGAGGTGTGAAAAGATATCAAAATAATTAACCAATAAGCAAAAAGAGTTTAAAAAACACAATGATCCATGGTTGTAATAAGACACACAAACGTTATTTAACTGGACTCACAGTTGAACTGTCCATTCCGGGATAGTTTCTGGAATTTGGCCCCTTTTCAGCCGACTGCAGTCCAAAAGCTCCCCAGAACAGGAGCAGGGAGGGGGACACGTCCTTGTGTTAGCAGCAGATCCACGCTGGAGCCTCACAAACAGCAGAAAAAGCACGGCAAACCTCGCCAAAGTGCGAGGCTGCGTAGGGGACCACATTTTCTCCGGCCACACAAGAGAGAAGAACACTCTCTCTCGGTTGTATCTTCAGATGAAGCGCAGCCAATCCAAAGAGGTAGTAGTGGGGGGGTCACCGAAGAAAATCCCAAATCTGGTGCCGTTTATCAACACAGTCGGTCCTTTATATCCAATCCCGCGTCGTTGTGAGGGCCGTGGATGTGAAATGTGAAAGAAAGGCGTACTTTTTAAACTTGCCCATTCCTGTGGAGAAACTTTTTTCTGCCGTGCGCCTCGCTGCCTCCGCCGCCGCCGCTGCTTGCTGCTGTTGGGGCAACTTGTGCTGTGCAGGATCCCCACAGAGCAGCGTGAGCACACACCAGAGGTATGCGAGGGGAGGGGCCACAGGGGGCGCATGGGAGATGTAGTCCACGCTGCTAGCAAGGAGTCCCTACATGGGACAGCACAGAGCAGCTCCCAACACTTGCAGAATACTACAGTATTGCAACAAAGCACATTCAGTTAATATAACAAGTGCTACTTGTTTATTTCTTTCTTTGGTATTTTACAGATTAAGTAAGTTACAGTTGCTGCATACACTTTTTGACATTGGAACTGGAATATTTGTGGATAGTTAATACCGTAAAACTTCACTTAAAGCAGGGTCTCAGTTAGACGCGGGTCCTTATTACTAGTCTGGTGAGGCTCCATGTTTTGACTAATAAAAGCAGGTCTTAATTAGAGGCCTGGTCTGGATTTTATAGAAATAGAAATTTGGATGTATAAAACCTCTCAAAGCCCACAGAGTAGCTCGCATGAGTGAGTTCTAAGCTGCTTAGATCGCCTACACAAATTATAAATGTTTAAACTTTTGTCAATATGGACTCATCGTTAGATTGGTTACCTTCTCCACACTTCAATCGTTTGGTTCATTTTAAGGAAACCATGAGTATTAAATGATCAAATTAGTGATTGGTAGGCTAATTGATATGTAAATCGATAACTTATTTTTTATACAAATAATATTCATACTGCTTTAGGTAAAATATTTAGTATTTCCCGTCTTTACTGAGCGAAGGTTTTGTGCAAAATGAATTAAAGGCCTCTTCCAAATAAAGGCAGGTTGAGTTCAGTCATTCAAGAAAATAAAATGTCGATATATTCAATCCACTATATTTTCTGTTAAATGTACTTTTAACTTCTATGATATTTAGTTACACTTTTCTTTCCAGATTTAGATGTCAGGAAAACAAATCATGTTTTTCACTAAAATGTTAAATGGTAAGAAAATCTAAAATGACCAAAAAAACAGCCATGTTACTTTTCAACTAAGTTATAACCCACAACATTTCTCAAACTTGGGGTGTAAGATTTTGGCATGGCAGAAACAGTATGACTATAGACTTTGATACACTTGAATTATAACAACTTTAACATTAAGTAACATTTTAAAAGTAAGGCTTGTACACTTCTACTTAGGGCTGCAACTAATAATTATTTTCATAATTTCCTCTATTCATCGTAATAATAGTGAAAAATGGCCATTATAATTTCCCAGAGCTAAAATTGATGTTAATGTTTTGTCTGTAAAGAGTCTATTGTCAAAGAGGCAGATGACATTTTCTGTGTATCAACTCAGTTAATGGGCTAATCTTTTCAGCTCTATTGCATTAGAGTATTTTCCATCGTGGTCTTGTTGGTTTTAAGCAAAGAATCTGAGGACTTCTTCCATCACTGTCTGGTGCATTGGTTAATTACACCCAACAATAACTTTTGTATTTGTTTCAAAGAGACACAATTCTGAGACATGTTTTGTTATCCAGAAAATGGCTGAAACATAGAGCCTTTGTTAACATTTCATAATAGAATAATAGCTTTTTTTTAAAGTGATCTTTTCCTCAGACCAGGAATCAGCGTGCCCATAATTCATAGAAAGTGCTAATTAGACAGAAGGCCAAATTTCACCTTGTTGTAGGACACAAAAGAACCTTAAAGGTAAAGTCACTAACAGAGGCTTTAATTAACATTTTACACTTGAAAGCCGACTGATATTTTCTCATTTGCAATTTAAAATGTGTGTGTTCTTTTTTCATTTCCACATTAAAAGGGCCCTTCATGGGATATTCATGCCCAGGCAGATGTGTCAGGTTCCCCTCAGGCAAAGTGTTTAACAATTTCCTGTTGACCAAGGTCATACTTTCACTGTCCGCTGGCACTTCAGTTTGTCAGCGAGGACACAAGCTCATTAATCTGTTGACACGCCGATAAAAGACTGACGGATCAGTCAGACTGATATGAGGGTAACTGAATAAAAAATAAATGTCAATGAGTCACTCTGTATGCTAAAGATGCAAAACATTGATAAAAAGTGCTAAAACAAAAAAGTGCTCAGCTTATGTTTAATATTCACTTCTGTGGCCTATTAGTTAAAAGATGGGATTCTGCTTCTTTCTCAGCATACTGACCTATACATTAAGATGTGCAGGTTAAAAATAAAAATGAAAAGTTCTGCTACGACCACATCAGATGACAGGAAACATTAATCATTGATTTGGTTGCACTGTGTATTGGGAAATCAACTAAGTTTGTGGGTAAAATCTTTCTTAAGTTCTTGGTAACAACAGTTTCAAATTAGTAATTTACTAAATGAGGTTGCACCCTTTTAATTTAAGGACTTTCCAAGCTAGTAAAGACATTAATAATGTGTAAATTAGTTAAGAAATAACTGTAGCACTGTCCACAAGCTGACGTAACTTTTAATAATCCTTTTTAAATGTTTATATGACTTTGTTTTGTCCATGCATACATAAAGAATGCATTCATTAGTAGTATTCACATTCAACATTTAGTAACAACTAATCTCTGTGTAAGACTTTTTGTTTTCCATAAATCACCACTTACTAAATACTTAGTTTATACCTTGACTTTTAAGTTTTTATTCATGAACAGCCTGTGCAAGTGGCCACTGAGGTGGTTTAATAAAGTAAACATATTGTTACTTTCAAAGTACCAGTACTCCACTACATCTGTACTCTACAACTAGCATAATAATGTTTTCATGTAATCTTTGTGACACTGAATTATTCTTCATAGTACATTTTACAATAGGTAATTTTGGATTCAGCATTTCATTTTGAAATATATTATATTGCTCATTATACTTTTTTCGACCACTCTGATCACAATAAACTAACTGCTAACAATATATTAATCCACATGGTTTGTTGTTGTGTTGACAATAAACATCTAGGGAATGCACCATCCATCAGTACCAGGCATCACTTTGAGTAATAGACTCCAGTAGACTGAATTGTTTTGGTATGAGGCTCTTACAATGGAGGTGATTGGTGATAAGCAATTCTATTGTTTATCTGAAAGTTGTCTTGTGAATAGTTTATTGTGTTTGTAACAGCTGCTCGAAGGTGTGAGACTCATCCTTTGGTCAGGTAGCCAACTCATTTGTATTCAAAAAGGGCAAATGGGACACTACAGAAACCCCCTCAAACTACTTAAAACACGAGGGTCATTTACTCAAACAGAAGACACTGCATGCACAAATTACTCTTGGTAAAACATGTTCTAACATGGGTATAATCCTTTCATCAGATGTTTACTTTATTGTTTTATTTGTTTTTATGCCTCTTCCAGCAACAATTAAACATTTTGGCAAAACCCTCCATGCAGCTATTCCTGCTGCTCCATTTGCTCTTATCTTGTCATTTTTAATTAAAAGTTGTCAATAAATTGGATCGTGCCAGAAAGAAACTGGCCGTTGGGCAGTGTATCGATCCTGTACTTATGGGTTAGGAGGCACATCAAAGTGATTTAATGTTACTCTTCCCCAAAAAATAATGAGACCTTTAATTCCACTTACTGCTGTTATAGTTTGTTACATCAACGATATAAACTCATTTGTGCAAGGAGCAGTTTAATTTAATTTGAACAAATGATTCAGTTTAACTTAAGAGCCATGTGGCGCAATTCCATTTGGCTTATCTACCATAAACTGGCTGAAACATAATGAAATCAAATTCTCGTCTGCAGCTGGATAACTAACCATAGAGAAAATGTCCCACTAGACTCAGCTGATCCACACTGCTGATAATAAGTTACTTCTCCTGAAGGAATCTGGTGTTTTTTCAGCGCCTCAGAGTACTGACTTCTCAGTGGGGAAAAAACAAACAAAAACACAAACTTAGCAGGAATCTAGGGCAGGAATGGCATGTCGGAGTATTTTGCCTGCTTGTAGTGATTGATTAGATCCCTGCAGACTACTGCAGGATTTTGGGAGATGGAAGGGGGATTGCACCGTCCCAACAGGCCCACTCATCGATGGGCTGATTGCTTCCTCATGGTCTCCTCTGCTGAGGCCTCAAACTGGTAACCAACACCAGACAGCAACAACACCTCCTTCTAGCTTGACAAGTCTTTTAATCTAAAGCCCAGAGAGAAAATCTTACTTCTTCTTGAAGTACGTGCCAAAAACTCTGACAGTAGTTTCAGATAATTTCACTTTCTTCCAGTGTGAATCAGTTTTTCTTTTCTTCGTGAAACATGAAATGTCTCATCAAAGGGCCCCTTTGACCCATACGCTCCCAAGCACCTAAAGCACCCGTCTCACCAGTTGTAGGCCCCCAGAATTATCTCCACAACCAACAGCAATGATCCCATCATGCCTTCTTTCAGTGCACAGCAGCCTTACAGCGCTCCTCCGCTCTCACATTCCTCTCCTGGTGAAATCATATTTTCTAGCCACTGCTGATTTGTTTGGTCACAGCGGCGCCTGCATGATAGATGTTTTTCTGGCTGTGAAACACCTCCCGTACCCCCTCACTGCACACCCCCACCCTCAGACAGTTTGGAGTATAGTTCAGAGGTATGTGGAGCTGCAGGTCAGTCCGTTAGTCAGTCAAGTAACGGTGCCAGAACCTCTGCAGTCTGCATGAAGCACGTACAGATGTTGGCAGCGAGCATGCCGAGCTGCTAATGCTGCACACGGCCGGCGGCCAGACATTATACTCAGAATAGTAACAGTGCTGAAAAATGCCTACCCAGCATGCCTAGCTCCAGGTATCGCTCTCTGCCAGTAACAACATACAGTAAAGGGAAGGAATGGCATGGAATGAATGTCAGTGTGTGCATATAAGTTTTCAGTGGATATTCCTCATATAAAAGGGCAGTATAGAAAATGCAGCTATTCTTTCATGAATGCTGAATGTGACATAAAATTGTGACCTAGATTTTCTGTTGATAAAGCTTTACTGTCTGTAGATGGCGCTCTTTTCTTTGTTGGTTGAACTGCTCTTGTTAAAACTGCTTTAATCAGTATTTTTATATAAACAATGGATCTAAT